AGAGACGATTGTAAGAATTAAGTATGTCTGACAGAGTGAGAATAAGAGTAGTAGTTTGGTTTTTGTTTGGGCTATTAGTACTTATCCTGTAGGGTGTAAAGACTGTGAGGTTGAAATAATATTATCTGTAACAATTGATCTTAAAAAAGAGAGATCCTGATATGCAAGCTATTTTTGAAAGAATGAGTTTTATACAGTTGGTGGAAAAATTGTGCTCAGAAGATATAATAACAGTACAAGATTGAAGGTATTTGGTTTATATTTTATTAAGTGTTTTATTTTTATTGAATAGAATAGTTAGATTATTTTAATATATTGTTTAGATGACAATTTCTTCATCTACTCAATCTACTCATCTAAAAATTCTTAAAGAGCCTGGGTCGAATAAATGTTTATTGAAGATTTTATTGGTTGAAGTTGCTTAGAAAATACCAAAAAAAGTTGCAAATGATGAGAATGCTATTTTTGACATGTCTGTAAATGATTATGCTGGGCAAGATTATAAATTTAATGTTAAGGTTGCTTATCCATATCTTAAACCAAAGGTTTAGATATATTAAAAATGTTATTCATATACAGGAATCAATAATTTTTGTAGTTGGTCAAATAGAAATAATTGATGATAGTTTAATTGTCTATAAAAATACATTAATAATGTTGATATTTCTAAGATGAAAACTTATAAAGATAATAGTGTTTAAATGTTATCAGAATTAGCTAATTTAACTTGTTCAAAGCTTTTGAGCACTTATCAAAAAGTTTTTAAGAATTCAGAGGTAGAAAATGAGCCTCAATTAAAGTTAGATAATTCACCTTTATCAAAGTGTTTAAAAATTGACCATATTAATGAAGATTTTAAGAATTTATCAGATGGTGAAAATGATTATTTTATAAATGATAATTTTAAGGCTCAGTTAGAAGTAAATAATACTATTACAAAGCTTGATCAAAAAGAAAAAGTTAAAGAAAGTCAAAGAACTTCTTCACATGGTTTTAGAGAAAGAAAAATTCATGTTATTCATAATACAGTTAGTAAGAGTAATAAATTAAGTAAATATAATACAGATACAAGTAATAATGATGAGTTGTAATAGTAAAGGCAAATTATAGTAAACTCCTTTATAAGTACTTTCTCTGTAGTCATAAAATTAATATAATTACAAATTTAGTTTTCTAATCATATCCACCAATTTTATTTTTAGGGATCTTTTTTCAATAAACTGTTACATGAACTTTTGCCATTTAGTGATGTGATGAATAACAAATAAAACATTCATTAAAAATGTTTTTTTAGCCTCTATATGAGATAAATAAGCAATAAATACTAAAAAAACAACTATTCTAAGCTATAACGAAAGCACTATCACTAGTTGTTGAAGTATTTAGATATTTTTCAGGCAGTAAATGATCGTTTGTCATTGTTTGATCAGTTGTATAATGGGTAAGGGTGAATTTAGAGGTGATTTTTAAGAAAAACAGCCTTTTTAACTTACTTTCAGCCAATAATTAAACATATAGATATTGCAATATTCTATACACTTAATTATAAATTGAAAGTAAGCTTAAAAAACCATTTTTGTAAAAACTTACTCTATAATAATTTTTATTGACATATAATTCTCAATCATGATTGGCTAATTTTAGAACCAAATCAAATCAGTTGATATGTTATTTATAATTATATAAAAAATAACTTTATATTAGTTAAGCTCTTTAAAATTATAGTTTTTTGTATTTCAAAGGTATGACTATAGAGGGATTTGACTGTATATATTTTTTATTTATTTTATGTAATATTTTTTAAATTTTGTTTTGTATTTAAATATATTAAAATTATTATTTATATTTTATAAGATTTTTTAGAAAAAATATAGTAGATGTATTTTGTATACTGAAAAAGTAAGTAAAATTAGATATAAAATTTTAAAAATATAATAGTTAGTAATATAATATAAAATGTTAATTATTTAAAATTTTAATATAATATCAATTGATTTTTATTTAATTATTTATGTTAAGTTGGTTTTAAAAGAACTAATTTTATTTTTTTATTTGATTTTTATATAAACTAACTAATAATAATATATGTAAAATTACTCTTTATAAGCACACATTTTTTACAAAATAACACATATGATTGATTTTAAGAAGTGCATATATAGAGAGTTAATGTATATACAAAAATGGTCTTTGTGATATTGATGATTTAAAAATTAACTAATAGTATAATTTATTTAATAATCATTAGAAATAAAAAGTAAATTTTAAATATTTGGCTACAGATACGATAGATATATGTATTGATATATTATATCAAATATGATATTAACGATAAGGTATAAATTTGATGCTTAGTATAAAAATCACAGGACCGATACTTTTATGACAGAGGTTAAGCTTCATGAAAGTTGACACCATTGGTAACTAATCTTAAATAAGCATGAATAAGAAGATAAATAAGAAATAAATAACATTAAATAGTTATGAATAACTTATTACAAATGCTTAAATTACTGTTATACTCAGTGTTGGCATTGGACATATGTCCTCTGATATTGAAAATGATTGGACATATAAAATTTTATATGCCCAGTATTTTTTAAATTATTGGACATATATCCAATACCAACACTGGTTATATTCATCTGCTAATCAACGTGAATAATGACAAAGTTAATTGAGGTGAATGCTCATCTTTCTTTTACAAATTTACATGATCATGATTATTAGAGAAAAATACATACCATTATTAGTGAGGATCAATAAATCGTCAGACCTCCCTAAATGCATAGTCTATGAAAGACCTCTCGCATGGCCTTGTTTGGCCCC